TTGAAGTCATGCCCACGAGGCTTGGGTGCACTGGGTTGTCCCAACAGACCTGGAGCAGAACAATGAGAGATCTGTCTTGAGCCAGAGGCTACTGTAAGGGACCAAGAATGAAGCCACCTTTGGCTTCCTGGGCTGGCTTTAGTAGAGCAGATCTCATCTGCCAGTCCTGCAATGTGGCACATTTAAGGGAAAGGAATGCACCACAGATTCCAGCTTTGCAGGCACTGTTACCTGTAAACAGCAATTAGTTGACTGTTTCAGTCAGGGAAGAATCTCTTTCTTCTGACACTGGTGACATGATTTAAGCAGGAGGAAATAACAAAGAACAGAGCCCTTCTTAGCTTCTCTAGAGGCACAACAGAGGCTGGTCAAAAGACACAGGAATCCAGCTGAAGCGTAAAGTTAAATTAGAAATCAAGGAGGCCAAGGTGGTGGTACAGTAGAGAGACTCCCAGCTCACCCTCTCCCACAAATACACCAAGAATTACACCTTCAAACCCGCTGAATCACACAGAACACCTACTGAACCTACTGAATGTCTCTCACTTAGAAATACAGGAGGATTCTCAGAAAATCCACTAAGAGGGAAAAAGAAAAAATAGGAGCGGGACGGTCCTGCAGGGAGGGAGCAGCAAACGAAGAAAGGTGCCTTCATGCGGGGACGCCCCTCTCCAGCCAGCAGGGACGAGCCGGGACTGGCTGCTGGAGATCAGTGAGGAACCCGGGCAGAGGGCTGGGGCCCACTGCACAGAGGCAGCCTCATATACTGGAGGGTGGTGTGAACTCTGGCCGAGTGTATGCGCGGAACAGAACAGCCTAGGACCCCCATAAAAAAGCACCACTGCTGGTGTGCGTGGTAGGAGAGGGGCACAACACAGCAGCACCAGAGCCGCTGTCTGCGCTTGGCTCCACTGTTGGTGTGTTCTCATGAGAAGAGCGGTGGGGCTGGTCATAGCCGTGACCTGCTGCTGCGCAGAGGAGGGGCTGAAAGCTGAATCCATACCCAGCGGCCCTGCAACTTCAGGGATTGGGATCTGTTTACAGCCCCTGGCAGAGAGGGCAGATTTGCTCTCTCTGGTCCCTTTGTGGACCCAGGCCTCCGGGACAGACAGGCAGTGAGCAGAGTTCTGGCGCACAGCAGGGGTGAGCATGGGTTCTTACAACAAGCCGATGTACCTCACCTCACGTGGAGGTGGGGCTGCAGTCTGCACTGACCCTGGGGCGCACCACGGATTCTGGTGTGTGACTGCACGCTCACTGCGGAGGGCTCTAGCGCCTGGTATGGGCAGATCTGCACTGGTGGTTCCTGGGGACCAGAACCTTGGGGACACCAGAGTGGGTGGCTGATAATTCCCACAGCTAAGGTGGGGACGAAAGCAGCACCAACTAAGAGTACTTTCTAAGCCTGCGTAACACATGGCACCACAGAGGGACACCAGTGGACATCTCCTGTGGAGGTACACTCAGCGACTCTTCCTCCCAGCTGAAGCGCTCCGACCCTGCTGACCACAAACCACAGCTCAGAAACGGGTCTAGAAGCATCTATTCCAGCAACAGGGAGCAGACCTGGCCCTTGTCAAGGCTGTGACAACCACAGAACAAAAAAGGAAGCCCCACTCACCAACAATAATCAGAGAAGGCTCGGATCAACCACACCACCAATCACACCCCCAATCAAAGGGATAACAGCCAACACTCACGGAAGATACGGCAACCATCCATACTAAGCACAGCCACTGCAACAAAACTACTAGGCACATACAGTCTACACAGGAACGCTCCCACTTTAAATAAAAAGAAACAAAACGTAAAACAGCTCTTTAAGACCACAGTAGGTAACTGATACTCCTAAATCCATAATGCCAGAGAAATATAAGTAAAATGAAGCAGAGGTGAAAATTAATTTCCCAATTAAAAGAACAAGAGAAATCCCCTTGAAAAACAAGGTAATCAACAAATCAAAAGCACACAACAGAGTCACAAAAACCAAAAAGAAACCAAGATAATACAAAAGAAAATTATCACACCAGAAAAATACAATTTATCACTTATATGTGGAATCTAAAAAAAAAAAAAAGACAAAACGAACTTATTTACAAAACAGAAACAGACTCACAGACATAGAAAACAAACATAGTTACTAGGGGGCAAAGGGGGTGGAAAGGGATAAATTGGGAGTTTGAGATTTGCAGATACTAATATGTATAAAATAAAAAAGTTCATACCGTATAGCACAGGGAACTATATTCATAATCTTACAGTAACTTATGGTGAAAAAATATAAAAACAAATGTATGTTCCTGTATGACTGAAGCATCATGCTGTAGACCAGAAACTGACAACACTGTAAACTGACTATTCTTCAATAAAAATATGTATTTAAAAAAAAAAAGAGAGAAGCCAGGAGAATTACAGTTGTGAGCATGAGGAGGATACATGCAGGAAACAACAGGCACATACCTAGACAGCACCTGTGGGTCCCTCCTGGGACTGTCTCGTCTTCCCTAAAGAGGTTTTACTAGCTGCACCGTTCCCTATGGCACAGCAAGAAGTACACAAACATTGGTTTCTGGTTAACAATTATGGGTGGCTCAACCTCTCTGAAGAATCATTTTTAGTCAAAAGAAAGTTTATTTTTAGGGGACCAGAAATTAGTTGTATTTACTTAGAAGTTGACAGGTCTGAGTGTAGAACAAGCTGATGACACTGCCTTTTAGTAAAGGCATGCTCTCAGTACCAATCTTTTCACTAGAAAAGGTTAAAACGTATAAAGTTAAAATCAAATTTTCATATAGGATATTTAACTATACTAACCTAATATTCAAAAATTACATAGATTATATAAATTGTACTCCTACTGCACATATGGCAAGTATATAAAAACCTGGCATACACACACACAAAAATCTAATACCTGGCAGTCTAATGTATTATCCCAATACCTGGATTAAATTTTTATTCCACTAACTGTACTCCTAAGCATTGATTCTGAAATACTTAATAAAAACAAGTATCGCATAGGGTTTTAACCTCTCATCACAAATCTGAACCTATACAACAATTTAACTCAAAATTACCTTTATTTCAAGATACCAGAACACAGTTACATATTTGGAATTTTGGTCTATTACCTGTATATGCAACAACTTTCTCCAAGCCTTCAAGATTGGAATTGTTTATGCCTCTGTATCTCATACATAAAGAGCTTTGATGTGAGTTTGGGGATAAACAGGTGTCTGAATTTCCTATTCCTTGCTTCATCTGTGTAGTTACTACAGTAATGAAAATAAATCGTGAATTTAAAGTGTGACTTTAATACTGCAATTCCAAAGCATAAAGCTATATATAACTCTTAGAATAACTTACCAAAATAAATGGGTTTTTAATATATTTAGTGGTTATTCATCAGTCTTTTATCAAGAATAAAGCAAGTCTTAACACCATCTTAAAATGACATCTATTCTTGCCACATTTTCTCAGAGCCCTTCCAAAGACGATCTGTTAAGAATATCAATCCTTCTACTTGTCCACGTTAAACAGGATACAAATGCCTGTTCACTCACGTAACAGAGTATTTGGTATTCTTCTCACCTTACTTACAAATAGCTAATGTACTCAGTGCCTATTTTAATTCAAAATTTAAAATGAACTTCACTTTTGGCATAGGCTATTACTGAGGGTTCTTTAATGTAAAAAGCATCCTGCTATCACCAAAGCAGAGCTAGCTGACATACGGAAATCATAATTGATTTAACCACCTGCAAGAGGTTTATAAACCATCAGTAACTTCCCATTATCAGACTTATGAGGTAGTTGCATTTATTCTCCCTTTTACTAATGAGACATGACTCATCAAAAAAAATTATTTAACCCAAGCCCACAAACTTAAGTAACACCGGAAAAGAAAAAAAGACCAAAATTCTATCCTATGTCTGATCTTAGTCAAACCAAATTTTGCCCTCTGGACTTCCAATTATTCATGTCACAGTTAAGGAGTATTACCTATTTCACAGTAGTAACAGAAGATCAAAGACAGCAGCAGAGTGCTCTGAGGTGTGCCAAGGAGGAGGGCCCCGTGAAATCTAAGTGTTGCTGAAGATACCTGATCTTGAAAATCATCAAACAGATAGATGTACGACGCTAGAGAGTGCTGCACATTCACATCCCAACAGCCATGGCACAGGTGTGCTACTGACTCCGAGGAGGTGCCACACGGCCCCTCACTGCTCCAAGACCAGCCTGGCCTGTTTCATGCCATTTTGATGTCCTCTCATAACCACACATGGGAGTGGACTCAACTGCTTGGAATTTCACTTGTTTTCTTTCAAATCAGCTAGTGGAAGAGCATTTTTATTCCCAGCACCAAACCACTTGGTAAATGGACCCCTAAACTTCCTCATATGACCTATTAGGGTATCAGGTATCCCCCCACATCGTCAGGGTATGTGTATTAATTTTATTACTACATTTGTAGTGCGAGAGCTGCTCTGGACATGCTAGAATCTTCTACACATACTATTTTTGGAGGTAAACGTAACTGTAATGCTCTACGGCATAACTGTACTTAACCTCCAGAAAATATAAAAAAGTTAGAAGATGTTAAGTAGGATAGGACCTTTGAGACGTACAAATAGAAGACATTTGTTTTAAACCCAAATCTGATTGTGAAAACAAAAAGGTATCATAATTTTAAAGTTTATCTACACTCTTATCTGAGGAAGCTGATCTGTCAACCTCTGAGGTCTAGACATTTAGATTAATGAGGCTACATACATTTTCCCTTTTGGGGTTACACACCTCTCCCCTATCCTATTTTAGGATAGTTTTTCTATCCTAAAAACTGGGGAATGACCAAAACAGCTATAAAACAGTAACAGAATGGAAATACTTTCTTTCAACTCTACTTCCAAAGGCTTTAATTATAGCCAAGCAAAGAAAAACAGTCTCATGGGCTGAGGAAGTGAAATCTTGATTAACTGGAATCTATATAAAGCTGATACTAAATTTTCATTTCCTTCTTTTTATTCATGTTAAGAGGGCAAATAAGGTTGTGTCAAAAACTGACCTAAGCACAAACTCCCAGTTTCAGGTTCATACATATTTTCTTGCCAGCTTTAGTCACCTGAGAGTCAGGAAATTCACAAGACCGTGAGTCCCTGTGCTAAGAACTACAGCTGCCTGACTGTGTAACCGTGGGCTTGTCAAGTTTCCAGGCTTTGCTCGGCACGAGGTTGCACTTTGGTTGATACATATAAGTTAAATAAAATCAATACCACAATCTATTCCTGTGTTAAGTTAATCTCTGCATACCTCGTATGTCTATAAAAGCAGCTTTTTAAGTTTGTAAGAAATAGAATTTTGGCCTTTTTACAAAACAAGCACTTTGCTTTTTTACTCAGAATTCTAAAAATACAGTTAAATTAGAGTATTGTGACTACTCTAACATTTTTATCATCAGGCATTGTAATTTAAATGTCAGTGATTTTCCCCCAAGTCTCTTTGACTCTATAAAAGAAAATAATGAAGTATCAGAAGTTTCCTGTGACTACCATAAAAAATAATCCAGTTTCCACCGGGCTGCTCCTAACGGTTTGTTAGGACACTCCTGCTTGATCCAAGTCCATCTGGCTTGAAGCTGTGTTTCATTTCCAGCCTTCTATCTGCCTGCAGGGTCTTCTTAGGTAAAGAGGCCATCTAAATAAAGCAAGAAAATTCATAATTTTAGTTGTGTCTGTTTAAAAGAAAAGTCACCAGTAAAATGATATGTTAACTACTAAACAAGGGAAGGACTGCAAGCCATACGTATGTGTCATGAGTACTTGCTGCAAGGGTGCAAACTACAAGTAGAAAAGTAAGAAAAAGGTAAACTCTGTATCTTTTCCTAATGAGAACACTTTAAACGTTTTCTATACTGCAATTCTGGCTATGACAAAACCTGTAGTAGAATCACTAACACTGGTCTAAATATACAATGCCTGTCACAGTGTTCCACATACTATAAATTTATTATTTCTTGTGCCAGGCACTGTGCTAATAAGTGCTTTACACATATTACCTAATTCTCCCCTTAATAATATGAAGCAGATGACACTGACTTAACTGACAGATGGGGAAATTGAGAGAGGCTTAAAGAAGCTAAGTAACTTGCTCAGGGTCTCAAAGCCCGTGACAACTTAAGCCCAGGCCGTGTGACTTCAGAGTCTGTGGCTGTAACCCCTCTGCTTACTGCTATGAACCAGACCCTTCATACCACAGGGGGCAAAGGCGTTTCCAGCTGCCGCCCCAAGAATGACAGCAAACGCCTCCAGATCAGGCCACTTCCCATAAACATAATTCCTGTGATCAGCCAAAACACTCTATGGTCCTAAAAGAGAACACACAGTTAATTATTATTAGTATTTATTAGTTAATTATTATAAGTATTCTTTGATCATCTATGAACCAACATAACTGCTTTTACTTTGTGTTTCCCTCTGGTCTTTGTTTACAAGCATACAAATTTTAACAGTCATAATCACATTTGACATACAACTTAAATGTTTTACTTATGGCCACAGTTGCTATACTGTGACCTGAGATGTCCTTGCATCACAGCACCCCAGGATACTTCAAATTTTCAAGAATAACACAGTGTCATCTGTGGAATACCACGAGAAGTGCTACTCTTAAGCTGTTCAGACCTAACTTCTTCATAAAAGGAACTGTTAGGTAACATGACAGAAACTGTAACATAATAAAAGAAACTTCTGGTCCAGGGATGCTGTGAAAAAATTACTAAGAAACTAAAAACATCATGAACCAAGAAAAGTTTGGGAACCTCTAACTTATAGTGAACATTTTCCCTCGCTGTCATTTTCAAAATTTTATTACTTTTTTTGCAGTGTAATGCTTTTGGTTCATGTGTTAATGCACGGAATCACAGAGTTTATGTTTAATTTCCCCCGGGGAAGGAGTCTCATTTCCAGCTATGCCATTAGTTGTTATCAACCACGGCTTCGTCTCCAGTGATTGGGAGCTCACTTTCCCCTAAGACAGTCGTTGCACAAATGATCAGTAATCACTGATGGAAATTCATGCCACATATGGAGCAGAAATCTGCCTCCTTTTAACATGAAGTCAGATGTTAGACACAAGCCATCAGGAAGACTGCTGTGAGTTAACTGTGGATGAACACATTTCCAGTTATTCCAGAAAAGGGCCCTAATTTATTAAGTAAAACTTATGCTTAAATGAGATTTAGCATACCCAGATTATTGTTTGTTCTTTGTTATAGACTGGTTTTGCTCTATAAATGAGAAGTCTGGGAATGCCAAAATGTGATAAACTTGAGGAAAGCAAGTTCAAAGTTCTGTGTCAATAAAACATACACACAGCACAGTGTGAGACCTCCAGGAGATTAATGGAAGGGACAAGTGTCTGAGGGTTGGAGATTTAATACTTCCTCCGCTTTGGGCATGCCCTGCAGTACTCCGTATGTTTAAATATCTACCTTTCAAACTCTCCATTTCCTCCACTGTTTAGTCTACCTACTCCTTAGACAGACAATTTAAGCATCAAAATAAAAGAGTAATGATAGATTATAACTCACTGACTAAAGTAAGAGCCCATGAGCCCATGCTGATACAAGCGAAAAAACAACCAGGTGAGAAGAGAAGGCTCTACTTTACAATAAAAGGAGTAGTAACAGAAACAGAAAATCACCATTTGGTAATCATCATTGTAGTATGTGGTTCAGGCACAAATCAATTTTAGATCATGGATGCTAAAGCTAGAGGGTGACAATCTGATGACTAACAAGAGTTCTTACACAGTACTTAATTCCACAAAGAAAAAGAGAAACTTTACAGCAGAGAAAGCTGGCAGACACCACCTCAATCAGCTGATCAAAGTTGGTATCACTAGCAGGGAGACAAACTGACATCAAGGGTCTCCTGATGGGATTCAATGTGAAGAACACACTGACACAACGTGTAACCAGTCTAATGACGAAGAAAGAGTATCAAGTCCCAAATAACTGACCTGCATTCTTTGCAAACATCAAGGCCATGAAAACACAAAGACCGAAAAACTGGCCTAGATTAAAGGAGACATGAACTACATGCAACACATGACCCAGATTTTCTATTAGATAAAGGAGATCTACTGAGCCAAGTGGTGAAATCTGACTAGGGTCTACAGATCAAAAAAAGTGTTGTTTCAATGTTAATTTCCTGATTTTGACAACTGAGCTGTGGTTGTGTAAGAGAACGTCTTGTGTTTTTAAAGAATATATACTGAGGGGTTTCCGATCAAGAAGGCAGAGTAGTAGGACCACGAGCTTGCCTCTCCTCGTGACTACAACAAAGTCACAACTGAATGCTAAACATCCACCAAAAAAAAAAAAAAAGACTGGATCCTAGCGAAAAAGATCCTCTTCAACTGGAAACAAAGAGTAAACATCAGCCGGACGGTAGGAGGGGCATGCTTGCGATAAAATCAGACCCCCATATTTCCTGGATAGGTGACCCACAAGCTGAAGAGTAATTAAGTGGCAGAGGCCCTCCCGCAAGAGCGAGCGTTCTAAGCCCCTCTTCAGGCTCCACACCCCGGGGTTCCAGCATTGGGAGGAGGAGACCCCAGGACACCTGGTTTTAAAGGCCAGCAGGGCTTAGCTCCAGGAGCCCCACGGGACTGGGGGAAACAGACTTCATCCTCTTGGGAAGTGTACATAGAATCTCGTGTGTGCCAGGTCCAAGGGCAGGAGCAGTGATTTTAGAGGAACCTGGACCAGATGTGCCTGCTGGTTTTGGAAGGTCTCCTGGGGAGGTAGGGGACAGGTGCAGCTCACCCAGGGGACATAAAAACTGGTGACAAGACATTCTGGGAGTGTTCATCTACCTGAGCTTTCCTGGAGGCTGACGTCTTGATCGGATCAATAGCACCAAGACCCGGTCCCACCCAGCAGCCAGTAGGGAAGCTTCAGGCCAAACTACATACTGGGGGGGAACACAGACCCACCCATCAGCAGACTTCCTAAGTCACAAAGACACCAGAGGTCCTGGACCAAGCTTCACCCAGCAGTGGGCAGACACTGACTCCTGCTGCCAGGAAACCTGCATAAGCCTCTAGACCAGCCTCATTCACCACGGGATAGACCCACTTCAGAGCTACAGACACATGCAAGCTGAAAGTAAGGGGATGGAAAAAGATATTCCATGCAAATGGAAACCAAAAGAAAGCTGGAGTAGCAATACTTATATGCACCCATCACAGGAGTACCTCAATATATAAAGCAATTGTTAACAGACATAAAAGGAGAACTCGACAGTAATAGTGGGGGACCTGAACACCCTACTTACATCAATGGACAGATCATCCAGACAGAAAGTCAATAAGGAAATACAGGCCCTAAATAACACATTAGACCAGATGGACTTAACTGATATCTATAGAGCATTCCATCCGAAAGCAACAGAACACACATTCTTCTCAAGTGCACGTGGAACATTCTCCAGAAGTGACCACATGCTGGCCTACAAAGCTAGCCTCAGCAAATTTAAGAAAACTGAAATTGTATCAAGCATCTTTTCCGGCCACAATGCTATAAAGTTGGAAATCAACTACAAGAAAAAATGGCAAAAACTGCAAACACATGCAGGCTAAACAATATGCTACTAAACAACTAATGGATCACTGAAGAAATCAAAGAGGAAGGCAAAAAATACTTTGAGACAAATGAATACAAAAACACAATAATCCAAAACCTCTGGGATGCAGCAAAAGCGGTTCTCAGAGGGAAGTTTATAGCCATACAAGCCTACCTCAGAAACAAGAAAAATCTCAAGAAAACAACCTAACCTTACACCTAAAGCAGCAAAGAGAAAGAAGAAACAAAACCCAGTTAGTAGAAGAAAAGAAGTTATAAAAATTAGAGTAGAAATAAATGAAACAGAGACTAAAAAAACAATAGAAAAGATCAGTCAAACTAAAAGCTGTTCTTTGAAAAGGTAAACAAAATTGAAAACCTTTAGTCAGACTGATCAAGAAAAAAAGAGGGGGGCCCAAATTAATAAAGTCAGAAGTGAAAAAGGAGAAGTTACAACCAACATCACAGAAATACAAGGGATCATAAGAGGATACTATAAGCAACTGTATGCCAACAAAAAGGACTACGTAGAAGAAATGCACAATTTCTTACAAAGTTACAATTTGCCAAGACTGAACCAGGAAGAGATAGACAATACGAACAGACTAATTACCAGTACTGAAATTGAATCAGTAATTAAAAACCTCCCAAAAACCAAAAGTCCAGGACCAGATGGCTTCATGGGTGAATTCTACCAAACATTTTCCGAAGAGTTAACACCTATCCTTCTGAAACTATTCCAAAAAATTGCAGAGGAAGGAACACTTCCAAACTCATTCCACGAGGCCATCATCACCCTGATACCAAAACCAAAGATATCATAATAAAAAAATTACATGCCAATATCACTTATGAATATAGATGCAAAAATCCTCAACAAAATACTAGCAAATTGACTCCAAAAATGCATTAAAAGGATCACACACCATAATCAAGTGGGATTTATCCCAGGGATGCAGGGATTTTTCAGTATCAGCAAATCAATCAATATGATATATATACCACATTAACTGAAGAATAAAAACCGTATGATCATCCCAACAGATGCAGAAAAAGCTATTGATAAAATTCAACATTCATTTATGATAAACACTCTCCAGAAAGTGGGCATAGATGGAACATACCTCAACCTAATAAAGGTCATATATGACAAACCCACAGCTAATATCATACTTAATAGTGAAAAGCTGAAAGCATTTCCTCTAAGATCAGGAACAAGAAGAGGATGCTCACTCTCGCCACTTTTATTCAACATAGTTTGAAGATATAGCCACAGCAAGCACAGAAGAAAAAAAGAAAAGCAATCCAAATTGGAAACAAAGAGGTAAAACTATCATTATTTACAGATGACATGATACTATACAAAGAAAACCCTAAAGCAACCAGAAAACTACAGGAACTCACCAATGAATTTGGTAAAGGTGCAGGATACAAAATTAATATACAGCAACCAGTTGCATTTCTATACACTAACAATGAAATAGCAGAAAAAGAAATTAAAGAAACAATACATTTACCATCACACCAAAAGATTACATAGGAACAAACCTACCCAAGGAGGCAAAACACCTGTACTCCAAAAACTTTAAGATGCTGATGAAAGAAATTGAAGACAACACAAACAAATGGAAACATAAACTATGTTCTTGGATTGGAAGAATCAATATTTTTAAAATGGCCATACTACCCAAGGCAGTATACAGATCAAATTACCAATGACATGTTTCACAGAGCTGGAACAAAAAATGTTAAAATCTGTATGGAACACGAAAGACCTCAAATAGCCAAAACAATCTTGAAAAAGAAAAATGGAGCTGGAGGAATCATGCACCCTGACTTCAGACTATACTACAAAGCTACAGTAATCAAAACAGCATGGTACTGGCACAAAAATAGACACAAAATCCAGAAATAAACCCACACGCTTATGGTCAATTAATCTACAACAAAGAGGGGAAGAATATACAATGGAGAAAAGACAGTCTCTTCAATAAGTTGTGCTGGGAAAACAGGACAGCTACTTGTAAAAGACTGAAATTAGAACATTCTCTAACACCATATATAAAAATAAACTCAAAATTGATTAAAGACTTAAATGTAAGACCAGATACTATAAAACTCCTAGAGGAAAACATAGGCAGAACATTCTTGGACATAAATCACAGCAAATAAAAGCAAAAATAAACAAATGGGATATAATTAAACTTAAAAGCTTTTGCACAGCTAAGGATACCATCTACAAAATGAAAAGACACACTACAGAATGGGAGAAAATACTTGCAAATGATGTGACCAACAAGAGACTAATTTCCAAAATACACAAACAGCTCATACATCTTACTATCAAAAAAACAAGCAACACAATCAAAAAATGGGCAGAGGACCTAAACAGACATCTCTCCAAAGAAGACAGACAGATGGCCAACAAGCACATGAAAAGATGCTCAACATCACTAATTGTTAGAGATAAGCAAATCAAAACCACAATGAGTTATCACCTCACACCAGCCAGAATGGCCATCATTAAAAAAGTCTTACAAATGATAAATGCTGGAGAGGGGTAGTGGAAGAAAAAAGAAACCCTCCTACACTGTT